GTGAGAACATGGCTGATGGGAACATTGCGGACGAGAAACTGTTGACGTAGCGAAAGGGGCGCTTAGTTATGGATAATTTGTATCTGCAGCGTCGATCGACCAACGAGAACGATGCCGCGTGTGGCCAATCAAGGCCGAGAGTAATGTCCGGCCCTGGTGGCTTACCAGCGCATGGGCAGCAGGCGACCAGAGCCTCAAGCCACCTGCTCGTCGCTGCAGGACTTGGCTATACACGGTGCACGCATCTGGCAAACATTGTTGCCGCGATTTGCGACCTCCTGGAGCTTGCGAACTCTGTTGGTCTTGGGTCGCAACCGTGACATCGTCACTGCGACGGTGCTGGGTCCGAGACTTTACGCCAGCGACTATGGTTTCATCGCAGCCGGCCGCCTCTGGTGCGTGCAACTGACACGGAGAGGACCACACGATGTGCCCATGCCCAGGTAGCTAGGTACAGGCCGCCGTCCCGTGCACATGGCCATCGAATCATGGAGGCCGCCGTGCTCGACCACTGACGCCGCATCTCAGGGACGCGCGAGTTACGTGCAGGACACACAAAGACGCGCAGAAGGGGGCGCGTCGTCCCTTGCGACTGGCTGGCGATTGGGTGTTCATCTCTAATGCCGATCAGCCCTGTTGTGCTCAGCGGGCTGTGGGTGGCCGGCGCTCAGACGCGGTCATTATCTATCTCATGAGGATAATTCATTAGCATCAAATACCCAACATTGCGCGTGTCGATTGTGGGGCCCAGCAGCCTCTTAGACCGCAGGATGCAGCGAGGCTAGCCTTTATCCCGCTGCCGTCCCTGGCTGCTAGCCACTTCAGAACTGTGCCCGCATGTGCTTCCCCTGATTCAGCAAGGCCCACCCACACCGTTTCTGAGGATCCAACAACCCTGCACCTTTGTTTCTCGGCGCTCCCGCCCATCATCCGTCCTCGACCACCGCCGCATACCTTGCCTGCTCCCACTCCGTGCCACCATCTTCGAGATAGCCTTACGACGATATTCCGCTGGACGTGAACGGCCTTAATACTGAATGTCCAGGCACGAACCGCCTCGGACTCCCTCTCTGAACCAGCTCTGGACACGCGCCCAACATGGAACGAATGAGCACGCTTCCGACTATCAAGTGTTCATCCTGCGCGGTGGACATTGACATCCTCCATTTAGCCGACCATGTCTGCGCTGCAGCACCCCCAGCGGGTGAGTACGCCACGAATGCACACTATAACACTCACTCATCAGTTGCAGCAACGCCCGCTCCTGAGCCAATGTCGCCCACCTCGACTATCTCTATGGGTTCCCCGCCCTCTATACTGTCGCCCAAGATGAACCGCGCAGCAACCTTTGGCGGTCCCACGTTCAGCAACCGGTCGGAACGTCCAGCGCAATCGGGGCGCATGCCTCCCCCGCCCAGAATCGATTCAAATGCAGCGAGTAAGCATCCAGAAGAGTAAATCAATTTGAGTAGTAGACATTGTGCTGATCTGTTTAGACAAACCATTCCGGCCGCTGGAACCATCGCCAATGAGCAACCAAGTTGACTACAAGAGTCGATCCCCAGGTCTGGCGCCACCAAAGTCTCCTCTCAAGATGAACCGCAGCGTGACAACTCCGGTTGGGCGACCCATGGCACCTCCATCGCCTGACTACAGTTCCAACTTGGACTGCGCCTTTCCTCGATTTCCCTCCAAGAACGGTACCCCTAAGAGTGCCAAACCTCAACCACGAGAACGCCTGGAACCCTTCCAGCAAAACTATGCTCAACCGAGCCCTCTATTCGCACCCCTCAGCCCCCGGTTTGATGGTGGAGAGAACATCGCCAAGCGCATGAACAGCATTGCACCAGGACCCTTCGACGGAACGGCAGACCGAAGGCCGAGCACATCAAGCGCAGCAAGACCATTCGCGGAAGAAGGGCCGGCGCTTGGGCATAGAAGAATGGGCACAAATGGCAGTATCGCCAGTAATAAGAGCGTATCGAAACAGCGCACTTCTACAACGTCAAATGCGTCGCGGGGTTCAGCATACTCCAATCGCAGCATAGGTCTTCCTGCTCGCCCGAAGCCGGGCATGGGTGGAGCCAATGCTCTGCCACCACTGCCATCCTCATCCGAACAGGCTGAAGGTATTGATGCTTTCTTAGACCGCTTGCAGAAGGAATCTACCAAGCCTTCCAGGGCTTCTCAAGAAAACATTGCAAGGTCAATTCCGTCACGACCGAACAGCAGAGAGCGGAAAGAACCCCCACCAAGACCTAGGAGGCCATCAGAGAAAGATCTACCGCCAGCAGACATGACCGATCTCGACCCCCCGGAGTTCATGTCTCTCTCAAACAACATGTTCCCTTCTCGCGGCTCAAGCCGAAGTGGCTCGGAAAGCGACATGCCACGAGGTCTTGCGCCAACGCATTCCTTACGTCCACCGCCACTAGCAGCTTCTGGGCTCGGTGATGCGCCCATGAACGCACTCCACACCCCTTCGGACTCTGGCTTCTCAGACGATTCATATGCCAGCTCGGGCTACCGTAGCATGACAAGCTCCAGATCAAGCCCTCCGGAGTCCGAGGCAGCGCACTCACGCCAGACTTCCAAGATCAGTCGTCCTGACAACATTGTCGAGGAGAGTGTTGAGAGAAGCGCAAGCCCGGAGTCCTACGCCGAAGCACGGCCTGTTCGAGCGCCGAAGAGTTACATGCGGCCCGATGGTGCGGAGCCGTACCCAAGGTCGCTTTCACCGGGATATCGCCAGGACACGTTTCCGCCTGGTGGATATGCAAAATACCCTGAGTCGCCAATGGACCCCGCCATACAGATGGGCGCGTCAACACCGCGTGACACGTTCGAAAGAGAGCCGGCAACACCCCAGGACCCGGCGCAAGTCAATGTTAGCCCGCCAAGACGCATGGCCGAGCCTGAACCCCAGCAACAAGACGTGCGCCGGCCTAAGGCTGCCAGCAAAGGCAACTGTCGTGGGTGCTCAGAGCCAATTGTTGGAAAGTCCGTGAAGGACTCTTCTGGCCGCCTCACGGGACGCTACCACAAGCATTGCTTCACATGCAGAACGTGCGCCGATCCCTTCCCGACAGCGGAGTTCTATGTCTTCGAGAACTCGCCATATTGCGAACAGCACTACCACAAGCTCAACGGATCTTTGTGCAATGCCTGCAACCGGGGCATCGAAGGCCAATATCTCGAAACCGACTTGCGCCAGAAGTTTCACCCAAGATGTTTCACGTGCACGACCTGCCGCATCGTCCTCCGCGACGGCTACTTTGAAGTCGCTGGCCGGCGGTACTGTGATCGACATGCGCAAAGCGCCGCAGCACCTCCGAGAAGTAACCTAGGCCCGGGCAATTACAGACCGCGAAACCTCCAGAAGCGCGGTACAAGGCTCATGATGATGGCGTGAACCATGTACTTCTCGCATAACCGTTGTCGTTGCTTCTTCTTGCTCATATTTTGCTTTTCATTTGTCACGTCCTTTAGCGATCTGGTTTTTGTTTGGGCCTTTTGCATGAATATTCACCCTCTTCATTCTTTCTGATACCCGGCCAGTCCGCTGTTACTTTACCATATGTTCTGCGTTATACCCCTTACTCTATACATTCGCTACATCTTATAATTGTCTTTTGTATCGATGTTGGATGGTGGTCAAGCACCGATTCTCGGGGTTGCTTTGGGTGGTGCTCGATATACTACCTTTTGTTGGAAGGTTTCAGTCGCTGGAAGACTGTTCTTACTTTGTTAATAACGAGGTCCGACTGCACGTGTACATATATGTAACATACCTAATGTTTACTGCTCACCATGGTGGGCTTATCAATACCGACTGAAAGAATACTTTGCGTTGCCTTGCTGGGTGATGTTTGTCGTTTTCGCGGTACACGTAGGTGGACTCTTGAGTGTTTTGTCCAGGTAGATGGGCGTTCCCGCATACGTGGTCGATCTTGGAAGCAAAGGTCAAATCTAGCACCAGTTGACGCTATTTCAGTACCTGGATACCCACAGTAGTTCTAGACTCGTGTGTCTGTTCAATCGGAGCAGGTCTTATAACGACATCTCCTTCAAGAAACCCTATCGCACTCTCGCCATGCTCTATCTACTCCACAGCATCATCGATATCCTAAACGCTGTTACGCTTGAAGAGCAAAAGAACATCAGAATTGAATAAGCCAGAGAGGTATATAACCATGTCCGCCATGTGCTCCATTACTTCTTACATAACAACCAAAACAACTCTACCAGAATCCAGCTACAGCATTTACTACCGCACATACAGCAGCACTCTACAGTCCACTCCATCGAAATATAATCATACACATAACATGTGCGATATCCACCAGCCTCTGTTCAGCGAACAGATTGTTTGCCTTCCAAGCTCTTCCAAGAATCCCGAGCCCAACCCTCCTGACACTCCACCTCCAACACCTCCGGGCGGATACACGCGTGTAGGTACTCGTAATATAGAAGACGGACGGGGACCAAAAGCTAATTCTCGTACAAGAGTCTCGGCCTTGAACCTCCAAGGCCTCTAGAGCCACCTTCAGGTCGTCCCACATCGCCCTACAAGCAGCGAGGAGACCTTGCGCTACCAGAGCCCTCTGTAAGCATTACATCAACAATCTGATATGCAAGTGAGCTGACCATCTACCAAGGACTCGCGCACTGGCACCACACCACCACCGAGGCCCAAGACTCCACCAAACACACCCAAGAAGTGTTCCGCGGATTATAGTTCCAACTCTCCCAGTCCATCTTCAGGCATGATCTATGTCATGGCTTGCGCTTAAATGCTCAAGCCCAATGTTCGGCTGAGAATCATGAGTGAACGGAAGGGGGGAGACGCATAGCTATGGCTATGAACAGTGATTGCGCATGATGATCATTGGCAGCTCTGCAGTACATGTGTGGACTCTATAGCTCCCAATGATAAATTAAATCCTTTGAAATATCAATGATTGCCTTACAACAATCCCAGCAGCTGCTATCACCTAGACTTACTTCGTAGCAATGACCACCCACTGACTAGCTCTCATCCAAACTTCCTCACCAACCCTCTTCGTTCCCTCTTGCTCCAAAAGATGCTTCACCAGCAGATTAACTGCCTCGTCCCACCTCTCACCATCTGTCTCCGCCCACCCACCTATGCCACCCAGATACGCCCAAGATTTCTCTGCCCAGTCTCTCAAATCGCTAGTCTTCGCCCAAGCCTCGCTCTTCTCTACCCTCATATTTGCTCGCGAGAAACCCGCCTCCAACATCACTTTCTGGATCTGCTGACCGTCTTTCCAAAGTATAGGCGGGGCGGGGTACGATTTCCCTGGACGGAGGGCTTGATGCACGAGTGCGAAGGGTGGGAGCCAGGTGACGTCCTCCCAGCAGTTTACTACTGCGGTGCCGCCGAGTTGCAGTGTGCGGTAGATTTCTTTGGCGCCGTCGAGACCGGCGGAGCTGGTGAAGAAGATGCCGATGTTGTTGATTGAGTGGGTGAAGTGGTCGTCTGGGAACGATAAACATTCAGACCTCTGGTTTGATACCTCGATGGGCCAGGAGTTCTTCTGCACGTCTGATTGGAGTGCGTCGAGGAAGACTTGGTCGATGTCTGTGGCGTGGATCTTAAGACCTGTTGGCGTCTTCGAGGAGAGAATCTTTCGAGAGACTGTACCAGCTCCACATGCGTTGTCGTGGATGATGGCATTCGGAGGCATGGGTGGAATGAGCGAGAGGTTGTGTGCTGCGAACTGGGAAGTCACGGCACCACCTGTAGCCTCGTACACATCGACCTTGCGTTGGCCTTCAAGCAGGGCAGCGACTTGCCTTGGTTGATGTGGGGAACTGGAAGTCATAATGATAGCTTTTGAGGTTTCTGTCAATGTATGTTTGAGTGGGGTTTGATGTGCTGAGCATACAGCAAGACGGTTGCCTCTGCGTCTTATGTAGTCATCTCTATAGCGCCAAAACGCCATGAAGACATGAAGATTACGGCATACATACCGCGTCGGACGTCTATGAGACCGACGAGTCGAACTTAGTCATACTGCTCTGTTTTTACACGTTTATAGGATAGACTAGATTGGCTGGTGGCGTTGAAGGCTGACATGCGTTGTGCTTACGCCCAGCTACACTCCACTCACGGAAATGACTTTTCGCGAGAACGCGCCAGTGATCCAGGCGTTTTCAGAGCTGCAATCGACGTGGTAGTGTTGTGGATCAGAGGTGATGTACGAGCGGACATCTGGAAGTAGCGCCCGGAGGAGGCTCGTCCGGACATGTCGGATCCGAAACGGTTTAGGCGCAAGTCCGCCGTCCTTCTCTCCTTGTCGCGAACAACGCGACTTTGGAGCACATGTCTACCATCCTTCCTCCAGCGCACGAATTCAGCATTTGACACGTAATGCCAACACTTACGTATCCCCATCTTGCCTCCGTGGGTCGTTACCAATCGATACTGAGCTTGCGCTGTGACGGCTCACACGAGCGCGAACCTCCGCCTGCCCAGCGACCTGAGGCTCCACCAGCAGTGCCGGAGAGCCATACTCGCGCGCTGAGACCTATAAAGATGGAGAGACTGGACAATATCGCCTGTATGAGGAGGAGATTGTAGGCTGTAGATGACGCGTTGGCCTCCCCGCTGCGTCGAGACGCGACGTGGCCGGGCAAGCTTGCACGGTCATCACATGCTATCGATCTGATCAGATGAACTGTCATTTATATCGTACGCAGTGTGGTGTGGTGAAATTATAGGCTCGAAACAGTTGCGCACCTGGAAAAAAGAGACCCACGGCATGCTCATCGTGAGCGCAAGCACGCGGGGATAACTTGATTCATCTATGGTCCTGCCTAGATAGGCATCTCCATTGACACAACTCCCAAAAATCATGTTCTGTATAACACGATGCTGCGAGGAGCCTTATCGAGGTAACGTTCCGGTTATTGGACACCATGCCTTCTGACAGGCGCTGTGCGCCGTTGAGCAGGAGTACAGACCTCTGTCTCTGGATGCCTCCTATATATCACCTCATGGAAGACAGTTTCGTGCCGTATGCTCAAGCAATGCCAGGCAACATGCTCTCATATCTTCTGTTTTTCCTCTCTTGTATAGCCAACGCCATTGCTCAACAAGCAGGGTAAGACAGCGGATTTGTCTTTTTTGAACCCGTATTGTACATTGCTCACTCTCTCTCTAGACCGGTCTACTCACCTTTGCGACCACCTTCCATCCCTCTCGCAGTCCGCTCCCCATACACTAGCGCTTGGAGCACCACCTCCGGCGGCAGTACGCTTAATAGTCGGAATGTCACCTTCTGGACTGGCGATCCCATAGGATGGAGTGGCATCATACGCGTAGACGGAACGGCTTATGAATACATGGGAGACTCGCCCTCCGTACAAGGCCTCGAGAAAGCAACTCCACTTACCGTATCTTACGACTCCCACTACAGTAACTTTACATTCGACGCTGGACCTGTGCGAACAGAGGCGCGATTTTTCTCTCCTGTTCTACCAAAAGATCTTTGCAAGAGCAGTATTCCGCTCAGCTATCTGGAAGTCGAGTTTGTCGCCACCGATGAGCTTCCGCATGATGTACAGCTCTACTCAGACATCGATTCTATCTGGCTTGGGGGCGGCAACGCATCATTCAACTCGACCATTGACTGCCCTGGTGAGTCTTTTGGCGAAACTCAATGCCCGCCCAAGGGAACGGAGACCCCCGACACATTGTTTCATTGGTAAGTTGTTGAATTAAAGTATGTTCAGTATAACTCTGACCAGCTTCAAGGGAAGCACTAATTGTAGATGAGCTTTCATGGGCCGATCGTGGCCATAAGCAAGAACCATACTGGGGCAGCCTGCACTACGTCTCTTCTCCCGGCATGAGCACCGAATTCGATACTGCGAACGGTTTAGCAACCACTATACGACGTCAGTTCGTCAATGGCGGCACAGTGGATAATTCTTTCGATCAGAATCAGTCCCGGGGACCATCACCTGATCAAATGCCAGTGTTCGGTTTCTTGCATAAATTTGCGTCTAGTCAATCCGGGTCAGTACTGTATACTGTTGGTACGACTCAAGAGCCTGCTGTGAACTACCGCACTACTAGCGGGGACGTCGAGCTCCGACCATGGTGGCTTACGAGCAACTGCTATTATAGTACCAACAACATGATCCGTAGGCATTACAAAGACTACGCAGCTACCGCAAAAGAGGCCAAACTTTGGACCAGGAAGCTGCGAAATGACGTAGCATACTACTATGCCCAGGATAAAGTTACAGATACGCATGCAGAAATATCTTCGCTATCAGAAGAGGAGTCGTACTACGCCATCGTCGCACTTTCTGCCCGCCAGATCCTGGCCGCAAACGTCCTCACAGAATCTGCCGATAACACCACAGGTCCAACTATATTTCAGAAAGAGATCTCATCAGACGGTAAAGTGAATACAGCAGATGTCATCTACCCTGCGTTACCTTTCTGGCTCTATGCAAACCCAGAGCTTCTTCGCTTACTACTCAAGCCCGTCTTCGAGTTCCAGGAATCTGGACTCTATCATGAGCGATACGCCATGCACGATATCGGGCGCTTCTACCCAAACGCCATAGGCTACTACAGCTCTACCATTCCCGACGAAGAAGGAGAAGAAGCGATGCCCGTTGAAGAGAGCGCGAACATGGTTATTCTGGCAGCTTCGTACTACTTGGCCACCAACGACACAGCATTCCTTGTTAGCCACTACGATATCCTCAAGCGATGGTCGCAATACCTCATAGACAATTGCCCATACCCTGAGCATCAGACCACGACAGGTAAGTACAAAGCAGCACGTCAACACCAAGAACGTTTTCACTAACGAGCCTGAAGATGATTTCAACGAACCCATCGCCAACAACACCAACCTCGCAATAAAAGGCATCGTAGCCCTAAATTGCATGAGTGTCATTGTCGGAGCCCTTGGCGAAGACGGCTATGCAGCAGGCAGATGGCTGCGCAACGCGGAATTCTACTATACCCTCTGGTCCGAATCAGCCATGGACCCCTCGGCCTACCACACTCTTCTCGCTTACAACCTGCCTGACTCCTACAGCATCCTTTACAACATCTTCCCCGCCCTACTCTTCAATCTGCGTGCAATCCCCAAATCTCTCTTCACCATGCAGTCAGACTTTTACCCGACTGTCGCCCAGAAGTATGGCGTTCCCCTCGATAACAGACGCCTGTGGACCAAGAGCGATTGGGAGATGTGGGCTGCGGCTACGAGTCGACCTGAAACAAGAGCCTTGTTTGTGAACTCGTTGGCGAAGTGGATCAATGAGACGAGTACGGACAAGGCGCTTTCTGATCACTTTATGACGACGGGGGATGGGGGTTATACGGATTACCCGTTTGTGGCAAGGCCAGTCGTTGGGGGGCATTTCGCGCTGCTGGCGATGGGTCTTTTTGGGAGACATGGGGTTCTGGATGGAGAAGATAAGTAAGGTAGCTGGGTAAGATTGTCAATGAGATGGTGGAAAAGTCATGTCACGACATTACTGCACATGCTGGAGCTCACCCGGGATGATTTGGATGGTATCATGTTTCGTATTCATATCGCGTCGATGCGATCACCAGTTGCCTTCTCTACTTCCCATTTTCGCGTCATTCTCAAACCATGCATTCGAACATCCTTTCATGTCCTTCTAGTGCTATCTCATCGCGCAAACTTTTCGCGGAAAATGGGATCTAACGGATGGGAAGGATCGCTTGGGTACTTGTTAAGGTACAAGAGAGGGGGCCTAGTTGTGCGCCGCTAGCGATCACGCTCCTTGAGCTCCTCTGCAACAGCCTTCAGACCCTTTTCATGTTCCTTCTGGATCTGATCCCAGTACTGTGCCCAGACGCGAGACTGTGAATCGTCCTGACCGATACCGGCTTCGGTGCCCATTTGCTTGTTAAGCTGCATGGACACTTTGAGTACTCCCTTGGCGCCTTCGTGAATCTTCTCGATCTCCTGCTTGACAGCGTTCTCCTTTGGCTTGACGGCAAGTACAGTGCGGAAGTTCTCGGCAAGAGAATCCAGACGCGAGCGGACCTGGTCTGGTGCAATGACCATGAGCTTGGTGAGCATGAGGTTGCACAGAACTCGGATGTCATGCTCGTCGGTAATACCAGCGACAATGCGATCGAAAAAGTCGGAGACCTCGATGGGTGACAGCCGTGCAAAGGCCTTCTCGAGAAGAGCATAGAGGGTCTCGTATGCGCTCTTGCGGATCTCTAAGCCATCGTCGACCTTGAGCTTGAATGGACCCATTTGCACCTCGCGAATAAGCTCAGGCTTGATGACAGTCTCCTTCATGGCCAGTGGAAGCAGCTGGTCGAGTGCAGGGAGGATAATGTCAGGCTTGTTGTGCATGGCGGAGTTGAACGTCATAAGAGCAAGACGGCGATTCTCGAGATCAGGCTCGTTGAGCATCTGTACAAGCATGGGCACAACGATGGGGCGGAGGTATTCGTCGTAGGCTTCATCGGTATCGGTGAAGGTGTATCGTAGAGCAGAAATGACCATGGCGCGTAAGCTTTCCTTGCGGTCGTTCAAGAACGCCTAGATTATAAGTTAGCTGTTGAAAACAAACAGTACTATGAGGGCTTACCTGAAGTTGAGGAAGGTACGTCTTCGGGTCAATGATAGTAAGCCTGCCAATGCACTCTGCACCGATCGCTTTGTTGTCTTCGAGCTGCGAAGCAACAACGAGGTTTTCCCACAGTGTTGATGTGTACGGGATGATCTCCGACTCCGTGTCGTCATGCTGAAGGACTTCCTTGATAGCGTGTAGGAACAGATACTGCGGTGAAGAAGGCTGTCCCATAGATGACAGAATAACGGGAAGATATTTGCTGACACTTCCAGCACCGGCTCTGCCAAGCGCAACAGCGGCCGCAAGTGGTACGTTCTCCGACTTAGCAGAGAAGTACTTGATGAACAACTTGGGATCAATGGTAGATTGCGAACCAAGGCGCAATGCAGATTCTCCAAGCACTACCAGGGCAAGACACTTGCGCTTATCGTCTTGTGCCGTCTCAAGCTCGGTGATGAACTGCTCAAGTTTTACGCCAACACTGTTGCCACCATATACAAGCAAGTTACCAATGACCTTGCCTACCACCTCTGGATGCCCAGATACACCGACTTGTTGTAGCAGTGCTTGCATCAAGGCCTTTCCGGCGCCTTGCTCTCCGATAGTGCGTACTAGCTGGAGGAGTGCATCCAACGGCGTTCCGCTTATCGAGCCTTGAGCGACTTGACAAAGGGCATCGTTGAGGCTGGGCGTCATGATGACTTGCGCGTCGTCCTTGACGAATGTAGCCAGGATAATAAGAGCTGGTCCCAGGAGGTGCAGATCACTGGCGTTCAGCAGCGGAAGCAGCATCTCCACCACCTGTGCTTTTGTCTTGTTGTCGAGTTGGCTCCGTGATAGCGAATTCAATGAGAGAGTGCGTAGCGCGCTTAGGCTGGCACCGCGTAATACGCGACTGGCTTTCCGTAATTGTGCAGCAAGTTCCAGTGCGACATTCTGTACCCATTTGGCTGACAACTCATTTTGCGCCTTGGTGTGGGCAGCGACAGAATCAACAGCACGTACTGAAGCAAGCCTTGTCAATTCGTTCTTCAGGCGTTCTACCAGAAGTTCAAGTCCAGCCGTTCGCTTTGGCGAGGAGAGGAGGCCTTGTTCACCAGAGCTCCTACCAAGCAACAATCCAAGGACGTGAATAGCACTCCGTCGAACTTCCACGTCGGCGTCGTTCGCTGATATGCGGTTGACTAACGCATCGAACAATTGCTCTAGATGCTGCTGGTTCTCCGTTCCTGCTGTAGCAGCTCGGGGAGGTGTGAGGGCCTTGATGACCTGCTCTGTTGCTGCCAGAGCTTCGATAGACAACTTGCTGTACTTATCCTTGACCCCACGGAGGAGCGCGTCAATGATAGCCGCTACATATGGCTGGATGGATTTGGACGAGTGAGTATCGGCGATGGCTCCTATCAACTGCAAAGCTTGGGTGCGTAAGGTGTTAGCGGTAGCGGAAGCACTACTTGTCGAACCGCCAGTAATCTTCGCAGCTTCTACAACAGGGTTGATTAGTTGGTTGAGGTACCCATCGAGACCACCACGCTGGGTGATGACAATGTCCTTGATCAAAGAGATGGACGCCTGCTTTGTGGTAGGCGGGCATGATGACTGCTTCAGAAGCTGCGCGATGCCCTTGACAATTTCCGGGCTGATCTTAGCTAAGCTTGCGCGAGGGCCGACGGGAGGCGTTCCAGCTGGTGCGGGTGAAGCATACCCCATTGACAAGGACGAACTGCCCTGCAGATCAAACATACTGGCATCGCTACCGCCGCGACGACGCTTCTTGCTTGGCGGTGGTGGCATTGTGCCACTCTGAGGAGTCTCGTCGGCGAACTTGACAGGCGAGGGTCCGTCACCCGACTTCTTGATCAAGTTGGATAGAGTGGCCAGGACCTCCAAGCGTACGTTGTCTTCCCGCTCTTTGAATCGTGTTATAAGCGCTGGTGCAACCCGGTCGTAGAGAGTTCCGTCGTCGAGAAGATCGCCATTACTCCGCGTCGAGATCAGAGTGTAAAGTACCTTGGCCGCACACCTACGGACCTTCCAGCTTGCGTCCTCGTCGTCATCATAACCCGTCTCCTCTTCAAAGTCATCGCCCTCGAGCGCGTCTTCTTCGTCGCTTGGCATGTCATCATCGTCCTCGTCGTCGTCGTCTTGCGCCAGATTAGGGTCGTACTTGAGGTAGCGCGTCGCGGCTTCGATGGTTTCGTCGGTGTACATGCGCATGTCTTGCGGGCAGGAGGCAAGGAACCCGTCCAAGGCAATAAGGGCGGCTTCGAGCACCTCGTCGATTTCGGGGTCGCGCTCACCCTCGTCGTCTGAGACATCCATCTCCTCGTCTTGCTCCTGTGTGCTCAAGGCGCTCAAGACAAAGGGCGCCAGCGTCTTTAGGTAGGGACCAAATTTGCGCGGGATCGACCGGGCCATGGAGCCTAAGATAGTAATGTACAGCTTCCGCTTGCTGCGAGTGAGGTGGGGATCGCGCAGAAGTTCGATGACCTTTGAAAGGAAACTGCTCAGAAGCTGGTCTGAGAAGTAACCGGCCAGGACCGAGATGGCAGTGACGGACTTCTTCTTCATCATAGAGCTAGCCCGGTCGTTCTCGAGAATGGCGAAGGTGATCTGCTGCAAAGCCTGGATTTCTACATCCTGCAACATAGGACCAAAGCACTTGGCGACTTCGATGAGAACGTCAAGAGCGTTGCTGTCCGAGCCCTTCTCCAGGTCTGACTCCAACATGCCCTTGGGCGGTTGTGTCAGGCCCTGTTGTGCTGGTTGTATAACATTGTATCCGATCAGACGTGGTATCAGGACCCTGCTGATGGCGCTGTATGCATCTTGTACCGACTTGCTGCGCGCAGCACCGGTGGTAGGACGGGGAAGGGTTATGACGACTTCGCGGAGGGCCATAGCGGGTATAGACTGGTCGACCGTGTTGCCAGTGGGAAGCGTAGAGAGCTTGTCAATCATGACAGGCAGCGTCTTATCGCTGATCTTGTTGACGAAAGGGCCCAAGCACTTGATGGCCTGGTTCTGGACCTCGCCATTGGTGTCGACCAGTGTTGTGAGGAGACCCTCGACCGTCTTGGCCGAGACGACATCATCGTGTAGGAGGAGGCCGGGGTGAGCTATGAGGAGGATGTCGTGCAGGTCGCTCAGGGCCATGAAGCGGAAATCGGGGTCATCGTCGGCGAAGCGAGGGAGCAGCTGGGCGACATTATGGGAGGTGGGGTTGGGCGGGACCGAAGAGGGCGCCATGGCTGGTGTTGAGAAGGCCTGCAGCACTTCGCGCGTCTGGTATCACAGATGTGAGCCCGCAGTCTGGGGCGCGTGTGGTGTGGTGGGGCAGCTTTGGCGGGGTTGACGGTGCTGTACAGCTTCAAAGTCGCGGTGGGGAGCGGAAGGGAGGGAGAGAAGGGAAAAAGCTTGTGAGGGAGCTGCAGTTTTAGTATGCGAGGGAGGCACCAGTGGCCGGGTTGGAGGAGCTTTTGGACAATTGTTGCCTGCGTCGCTTTCAGAGCTCCAACCCGCGCACGGCCTCTGTGCAATTACAGGGTATCCAAGAGCTGCTCCAAACGCGTAAACACCTTATACAAGGGAAAACTCAACACCCTAGAGCCTACATCAAGATCAAGACACGAAAAGTAGACGACCTGACGTCAACGTAGGCTCTAGAGTGTTCAGCTTTCCCCTTGTGTCAGGTGTGAGCAGATGGCATTGTTTTCACATAATCTCTTTCATTCACAAAGCATAATGAAACACTCTTACGCGAGCTCTACGGATAATGATTTGATACCACGTGTACAATCGTTACGCGATGGCTCTGCAGCCTCGCGCAGGTTCGCGAGTATTCGAGGTCGAGCACACGTGATGCAAGAACGCGGAGCTAGACCTCGGAAGCAGGGGCCACAATGTGACGTACCGATAATTCTGACTGACGTGATCTTTCTCTTGCGCGCATCCCAACTCCGAGTCTGCCATCAATTGCCCGTCGCGAGCTTCAATTCGTCTCTCTACAGCTTCACCATGTCTTTCATCAGGTCCTCTGCTCTCCGCGCTTCTTCATTGGCACGCGCAGCTCGCCCGGCGAGGTCTATCCGCGCTGCCGAGCTCCAGCCATGGCAACGAGCTGTCCAACGCCGAACCTACGCCAGCGGCCACGGTCCCGAGGGCGAGGCTAAGAGCAGCGATATCCCATGGTATGTCAATTCCATTTCGATTATGCAGATGAGCGCGAATGCGGATATAGCGTGTTACCGTTAGGAAGCACACAGCCCTCGAATTGAGTAGTTGGCGTGTGGAAGTGCTATTCCGCTTTCGTAAAGCAGCCAAGCTGTGTACACATTGTGTCAATTTCTATCAAATACCTGATGCTGACTGAGATATCCAGGATGGCCTCAGCCGTCGTCGGCACCGGTGTTGGTCTCTACATTGTCCTAACCCAAGACACGAACCACGGCGCTGAACACCACCCTCTTGGCGACCCACACGGCGAGGGAGGTGCCGAGAAGACTGGTACCGGATCTACCGTCGGAGAGGAGAACAAGGAGGATGAGCCCGAGGAGGAATCTAAGGATGAGTCTAAGGACGAATCCAAGGATGAGTCCGAGGAGAAGCCAAAGAGCGATCAGCAGAACCCGGAGAAGCCTACCAAGGAGAACAGTGAGGAGAAGGACAGCCAATCTCCTGACCAGTCTGACAAGGTCAGTGTATCAACATGCTCATTGCGCACAGGACGCTAACTAGTACAGCCCGACCCCCGCAAGGACGAGACCAAGAGCCAGAACGAGATGTCTGGCAAGCAAAAGGGACTCTCCAACGACAACACCCACCACACCTCGCAGATCTCCAAGCAGGAAGAGAAGAGCAAAAAGGGCGAGGGCGTTGCCGAAACCGCTAAGCTGCAAGGAACCGTCTCCACTGAGCGTCCAGGCGCGGAGAACAAGGAGGAGCGTGGAAAGGCCCAGCAGGACAAGGACGCATAGATCATACCCTTATCTCGTCCCGGCCCTCACTATCTCGATTCATATAATACCTTTACGGCGAGCGCGCATTCCGCCGCCCTTGTATAGTCCTGAATCAAACTTGTCACCACTTCAAACGTGACTCTTGTGTGTCTCACCTGCGAAGGTACATGTGGAGTTCCAAGCACAGTGTCTTTATCCACGTGCCCAGTGCTGTCATGGCATTGCAATCGTAGGACATGGCTCGATCGCGTTGAAACACGTGAACAATCCTGGACCCACAGTTTCTGCGCCACCGGGCTGTGCTCGTTGCTCTTCAAACTGCGGCGTTTTCCAATTATGAGGAGCCTTTGTCCGGATGCAAGAGAAGGGCCCTAAATGCGACCCAGGAACGGTGGCCGAAAACGCGTAGTGGAGGGGAGGGCCTCGTGATTGGTCTGCACGTTGGGGCCGAGCCACCCGTAAGCGCCGACCGACTCGCTCCACAACGTTGTCACACCTCACCTCCAACCTCAATTGGCCAAGCCCGCGCCTCACTGCAAGTCTAAAAAGAGAGCCATCTTACGGCGGGAGCTCTACGAATCTGCGTCCACTATGCTGCTCGCCTATGACATGAAGCATGGCCAAGAGCCAACCGGAGCGATAGGCGGCTCTGATGCAGGGCTGCCTTTCTTTGGACCTCGTACTTGTGCATGTACCTGACGTGCAGCCCTTTGACCTGATATCAGACCTCCTGGCCCCCGGCTTGAGCCCACCCATATTCCAGCTCACCTCCAACAGCTCATAACAACTGTGCCACCGGATGCTCCCGCTGACTCTACACTGAGTAAACACCGGTTTCACATACGATAGAGCACGCAACTCGTCTTCTCTGTTAGAAGTACCTCGTTGCAAGAATACTTCCCTTGAGGACAATCGCGCATCATGGATCCCCGGCAGCATGGACAGAACCAGCAGCTCCAGCCTCAAATGACTTCCCAGCAGCACAACAGGTTCTCATGGCAGCAACCTCTCGAGGATGATGCCCCGGCCTATACACAGCCGCAACAGCAAGCACCACAGCATCAGCCTCAGCAGTACCAACAACCTCAGCAATACCAACAACCCCAGCGGCCTCAGCAACCTCAAGTCAACACAGATTCATCACGGCACTTCTCGTATGCGCAGACACCCGCAGAAATGCGTGCTTTCGTATACACATCTTCGCCGAATGATCCGCCCATGCCACATTCCATGCCCATCTCACTACCAACATCGCCAGTGGGATACACGCCGATCGACCCTCGCCCCCAATCAATGCTTGACGCGCAGCTCCCGATCATTCCGCCCCAATCGCAAATAGCTTACATGCCGCCGTCTTACGCACATGACGTTAAACCCCCCGTCTCGCCCAACTCGCCTCAGCATGCTCCGCAAGCGCAACACTTTTCCCCAGTTTCGCCAATACCACAACCAGAACCTGTTCATCAGATACCCCAGGTCGAGACACAGCAGAGCAGGCACGCTCGGCAGATGAGCAACCTGTCACCCATCAATACGAACATCCGGACGTATGCCATGCCGCCCATCCCTCCTACGCCCCCGTCGGGCACACATCAAACCTCGCCGCTACCACACAAGACACCGATGACGCCCATCTCCGCCAACTCGATGCACAAAGAACAGCCGCGAGATGTTCCAACCTCCCCCACGCTCCGAACCTCGCCGTATCCGAACGAGCCCTATTCACCACACGGTTTCTCGAACCAGAACAGCAACTTCCACGCCGTATTCTCCCCAGACGCCGCACACGGCCCCAACGGCCTCGATTTTGCTGCACACCAGCCAGGCCAGATATCGCACCCAAACATGGAGCTAGAGAAATCACACGAATGGTCAAACGGCATCTGCGCATGCAGCCCCGACCCTTCAACCTGCCTAACAGGTCTTTTCTGCCCTTGCATCTTGTACGGCCGCACTTCATACCGCATGTCCCAGAAATCTGCGAAGAAAGATCCCACGGATATGCTTGGTCACAGCTCCACGAACGGACACTGCATGGTCATGGGCCTTTCCTGTGGACTGTGGTGGCTATTCCCTATGCTTCAACGGACACGTATTCGGCGCGCGTATAAGCTTGAAGGCAGTTTTGGGAGCGATTTGCTCAAGGGATGCTGCTGCTGTTGCTGTGTTACTGTGCAGAACGAGAGGGAGGTTAAGCATAGAGAGGAGGTTAGTAGACGGTGGGCTGGTCCGGCGAGCACAGATGCTTATACGAGGACGGGAGGTATGGTGTATAAACCACAGCAATAGACACTGATGGCATAGAATTTGCGGTTGTAGCTACTTTCATTCAATGATACCCACGGTCCTTTTTCGCGTACTATAAGCATGCGTATTCAGTAAACGTAATCTTTACATCGCCTTCACTCCTTCTTGACGCTTCGAAGCAAGAGCGCAAACCGTTCGCTCGGACTTTGTCTTGGTTCTCGCGGCTGAGGTCTGCGCAGGCCGTTATCTGACCGGTTTACGGGTGTGGCGGGGGATGTGGCGGAAGCCAAGGGTGAATGTTGGAGTGATTGTTTTGAAGGTGTGACCAGAGTGCTGCTCTGCATTGGAGAAGATGCGGATTTAGCTGAAAACTGAACGGAGGGCTTGGTGACAGGAGTTGCCGGTTTGGCAGTCTGGCGCATCTTCTTTGATGAGACTGGGCTACTCGTATCTTGCTCATCAGAAGCTGAATGCTTTCGCTTCGCCGGATGTTCTGTTCCACTGGGCTCCGTTACTTTCGTTGTGGGAATCGGCAAGACCTTGCGTAAGAGAAATGCCGGCATTTCGTAAGTGACAATAAGGCCGGGTGCTTCGTTGATATCTGGTATCGGCTTGTCTCTCTGAGTTACGTATGCGGCCAAGTCCTGTACTTTCAGCTCGGTGACATCGAACGCTCTGAATTTGACCTTCCTCTCTAGCGGGGCGTGAGATGGTTGGGCCGTTGCAGCCGTCTGCCGTGTGTTCACGAGAGTGAGGCCATAGGGAGCCCTCCCAGGCAATGGCTGGTTCCAGGCTGCAAGGATACGAGAGAGTAGTATGGGGCCAACGTGGTTGAGGTATTTTTTCCAGAACATGCTGATTGGCGGACACGCTTTGAGGAACAGATGTGTCTCACGAGGTGGATGGTCGTAGCCCATGTTCTCTCTAGCATGGTCCCGGAGCCAGTCATCCGAATGTACTTTGGGTTGGTTGTAGAACTGCAGAAGCTCGTATCGTGGAAAGTTCGGAGGGATAGTGATTCCCGGCGCTGTTCTCTTGAAGAAGTTACTGAGTGTAGTAGCGCCCCATTTACTACACTCGTCTTGGTTTTGTCTGCTGCAAAGGCTGCGACCAAGACTCGCTTGGGCTGCTTTCAGGGCATTGTCAGCACCGCATTTCGGAAGGCCTCCTTCGTTGTAGTCGCCGCCTGCAAGCATGGCAAACAGCACGCAGCCTTGGCGATCTAGTCGGCATTTCTCCTTGAGCTTTTTAGCGTGGACCACTCTAACCCGCTTCTCGTCTCTCTTGCTTTCGCCATCATGCTGGTTCTTTTTTGACGTGTCTGTGCTTATTCGATGATCGCGGATCCAAAAGGTACATCCAAACATCAAGCAATCAGAGTCTGTTGACCACACAGCATCTACGAGACCAAGAGTTTGCAAGCGACAACACTCAGCTTCTGCTTCTCCAGGTGCCTCGATGTGAGCCACTCCAAGCCCATCCAGGATCTCGTTCAAGAGCGCACGTTGTTTGCGATCTACCCGGCGTCCAGCATCTCGGCCACGTTTTGGTGGAACATCTGGTCCATCGCTCACGAACACGAGCCGGATGTTCAAGGGAAGGATCTTGCAGATACGATGAAAGATACCCCGTTCTAACGGGTTACAGCGCGGCTCATCTGCGTCAGGCAGTTAGTCATTGACTCTAATAGTAAGAAGCATCTCCAGGCTGTCTGACTCTTGCGCATTGCTTGTATCTGGGCTGGTGACACAGAATGAAATCTCCAATCTGCTTCGTCGACCGCGATCTTCAATGGCCTTCCATATTCTGCGTAATGCTCCTCGGCAAGCCGTGCTATGGGTATAATCTCCTCGCATGCTTCGATTGACCGTCGTAAACTGATGGTGAGGAGTTAACGCTATTAGTTAATCTAATCTCGTGAGGTGCACACACCCCGGAATGCCCATAATGAAGTGGGTCAATGCCTGCAGACGAAGCTACTGCGGGACGAGCCCTTAGTGTCGCGCACGCGTCGCGTTTGGCGTCAGCAGCGATGCAACTAGCAATGCAGGTACGACACTTTTGTACTGGACTCCGTTCGAACTGCGTGATTGAGTATAGACGGTAAGTTTAATACTGCTTGGAGCGATTGTTGGGCGATGCGGCGCGGGTTCTCGACGCGTACGGGTCTATGAGCGCCGATGTGTCGCTGCGAAGCGAACCTGGCGGTTAGGTAGTCGATAAAACTCAGGACAAGGTACAACGAATTTCTTGAGAGAGCGTTAATATATCCAACGGAAAATTCGACAGCGGGGTTAGATCTAGGAAGAGAAGAGAGCTTGAGCCCGAAGTTCCTGCAAGCTACCATGTTCATCATGTCTCAAACGCGAAGACCCGAAGGTGCCGCACCGATCGTGCGTCCAAGAGTTAATGGCGAGAGCGACAAGGCGCGGTATCACGTGATTTAGCGGCTGACAAACTTCTCGAAGCTCCCGGGGTCCAGGTCGTCGCCAGCTCGCAACACCGCTCCTAAAATAAAGTCGCCTTCAAACAAAAAAGCCATATCGTCGAGGCGACCAAGACGAGTACTATGATTTCAGTATCGGAATGATAATGAGACTGTTCAGTTATACCTGATTGGCCTCAGTTTCCTTGTCTTAGCGTTCTCTTTCCATCAAGGAGCCCTCAATCAATGAAACATACAAGTCAAAGTCGATTTCCTCACTTGTGACTGATTACTGCCGATATCGAAAAGTGGCATATGTCTCATAGGATACAAGTCAGCCAACAATTGTTCATATTTATACACATCTCCAAACACCCCCTCGTATGACTGTCAACACACTCATGGCCCCCTCTACTTGCTCCTTCCGTGAAGCCTACCGACTATCCCATCTTCCACCCTTGAAACCCTCGTCAGGAACAGCCCCGTTAGCCCTACAGGTGCCGCACATATCCGGATACCTGATAGTCCGGCGCACGCGACTGTACCGCGGACACTGCCTTGCGTTGACATCGTCTTCGAGTCGGTGACAGCGTATAGTTCGCCTCATGGGGGTATGCTCGTGGTTGCAGTCCTTGTACTGAGTCCATCTTTCCTCGCACATGTCGGGAGTAAAAGTTTATGAAGTCCTTGGGTAGAGATGATCTTGGGTATATGGCTTTGCGCACGATGACGTGGGTTTGATGCTTCGGAGCGGAAATATGCTTTTGGCAGTATGTCTGTATGAAGGCTTGTGCTTAGTAGTTTGAGGGAGTTGATAGCAGGAACGTCCTACTTTGCGTACTCGAAACTTCTTATATATCGAGGCGCCCAAGAGTCACAACCTTGCCAACGAGCTTTCTGTGTTTGTGTCTTTGTGAACATTCTACTGTGTTCTGACTGCTGATAGTAATCGATACTCAGGTGGCATTCCTTTCCAGAGAGTTGATCGCAAACACATACACAGATGTAGCCGTTCATCAACTAGTGAAGCAGCGCAAGGCTAAAAAAGCATCTTGTCATCGACATCTTCGACTGAGGGTGCTTCACTGATTCGTGATATATTGATCGTTACAGCGGTTGATCTATGAGCTGGCCGCCTTGGCTTGTAGCTCCTCGAGTTGCTTCTTGGCCGCCCACTGCTTCTCTACGTTGATCTTTTTCAAGATCTTGTCGGCGCCCTTCTCGATCAAGACCTTGGCAACCTCTTGTCCCATCTCTTCTGCCTCCTCTGAGCTTCGAACTTTGCGGGCTGCCTCGTACTCAACAGACTCCGTGCCATCTACGCTCACCACCATGGCTCTCAACACCAGTTCTTGATCGTCAACATCTGGCTCTTCCTCCTCGACCGCATTTCCGTGCTTGTCGTAGTCCTTTGCTGGTTGTGCACCGATAGTGAGGCCCTTGCCACCTCTCCATGATGTCTCAACGCCGATAGGCACGCTGCAGCCACCTTCCAGAGTGCGTAGCAGTGCTCGCTCAGCCGAGCATGCTCTTGTCGTCCGCTCGCATCGAACACTGCTCAGAATGTCTTTCATCGCTGCGTCCTTCTTCCTGATCTCGATTCCTAGGGCACCCTGACCGACCGCATGAAGCATACCTCCGCTCGTACTGCTCAGATACTGCGTGATCCTGTTGTCGAGACCCATTCGCTTCAAACCAGCAGCCGCTAAGATGATAGCTGAGTACGGGGAGTCTTCGGCATCGAGCTTCGCTAGTCTCGTGCCGACGTTGCCTCTGAGGTCGGCGAACTTCAAGTGTGGGTATAGCTTCCTCAGTGTGGCAGCTCGTCGTACCGATGACGTACCGATGGTGGCACCTTGCGGAAGGGTAGCTAACGTCGTCTCCTTGGGCAGGCGTGGGGAGATCAAGAGGGCATCGCGGGGATCTTCACGCTGGAGTATGGCACCAATCTCGAGGTGGTCTGGCAGCTGTGTGGGCATATCTGTTCCACTAGTCAGCCCGATCCGTTCGAGAGTTCATGCGCGAGCTCCAGAACATACCCTTCAAGCAGTGAACGATGATATCCAGATCGCCAGACTCCAGCATGCTCTCCAATTCGCCCGTCCAAAGACTCTTCGCATTCTCGCCTTGACTCAGTTGCTGCAAGGGTGTAATCTTGTCCCTGTCCCCCTGTACCACGACAGGACAGATGTTGAAGGTTCGGTCCGGGTACGCATCCTTCAAGCTTCGCTCGACTGCGCGGGCCTGAATCTGGGCGAGTACCGAGTTGCGCGTGCCGATGTTCACAGCCGGGAATTGTGTGCTTGCCGATGTGTTGAGGCCTTGCGGGTTTGGGTGAGATGGACCCTGGATGTCGGCTGCTGTTGCGGAGGCCATGGTGAGATGCGTACACGTGGGTAGAGAGGCGTGTTGTCGTGGTGGCTAGGAAAAGATCTGGAGCCCTGGCGGGATGGTGGGGCTCGGCCAACGTCATGTTTACCGCGGCTCGACACTAGCGTCAGGTACACACCCGTGGACCAGATGACGGGAACCTTCGGCGCGAACAACCCTGTGACATGTCTTAGACAGATGAAAGGTATGATGTGATTTGCATACATATGAGAACGACGATGGATAGAAACTCAAGGCAATGTTTAGTCCAACGTCTTCTACTTCCACTATACCTGGGTAGGTTGTAGGGAGGGGTTTAACGTATTCCTTGAGTAGGTTGACGGCACAATTTCTTCTATAATCAATACAAACAGCAGCTTCAAACACGATGTCGTTTGGATTGACGTTAATTGTTATTATTATGATACAGTGAACTTCCTATTTGCCAATCATGCACTACCTAGGTGGGTAGTAAGACGCGATTACTGGTCTCCGGTGTTGTGGATCGAGTTGGGAAGAGCTTCATGTGTGTCAGAATCGCGTCATTATTGCATGTAGAACTCTTACCTCGTTCGACAGACTCGGGAACGATCTCTTGGACCTTCTTGGGGACGATTGAGTCCTCGCCGTCGTTCAGAGCATGGGTCTTGCTGGTAGACTGGCTGTTGGGGTTGCTGCCAGTGGGGTGGACCTGTGGCATTGTTAACATGCTTCACTTCGTGGTAGGTAGATATAATCAACTTACACCTTCAGGGAGGCTCTCCTCGAGACCCTTTGGTGCAGCCTCCTGGACCTTCTTGGGGACGGCACTCTGACCAGTGGCGTGCGATGCACCCTGGCCATGCTCATTGGTGGAAGACATTCTGATGGAAGTTCGTTTGAAGAGATGTGATTGTTGGATGAAGGGTCGGGAAATAGTGCGGAGCTGTGTGGTAAAAGGCATTTTGGGATGGAATTCGAATGGTATTTGAATGATTTCGATGGAGAGCCTGAAGACAGCAGCTTATGTACATGTGGATGGTGATATGACGCGTGTGGTGACACACCCAAGCCGCATCTCACTTGCACTCTATCATGCGCGTCATGAAAGTGCAGTCCATGTTGCTTTTCGTCCGATCACTAGTGGAGTTTCTACAGGATTGTGAGTGACTATCCGTGGCGAAATAACGAAAACGCCCTGCGTAGTTGTCCAGGTACCTCGCTTGGTAGGTCAGCGGCAAATGATGCGGTCATGACGATACCAAGGACCGGTCCGCGGCGAGCCTCATGGTGCTCACGAAGCTCATGAAGCCACATTGCAACATGGAAACGCGATCGTCGTAGATTTCGACACAGTTAATTGCCTCCGAGGCGCCGACCTCCCAGATCCGAGGAGCTATACGAAAGGACGTTGATGGCGTAGGTGTAACAATCACCCGCGGTCGGTCTCCGAAGGCCCCGATCGCGCTAGTACGGATGCCTCTCCGCGGGCTCGTATTCTCGTATACCCCACAGGCCATCTTACATTGGATCTGAATCTTGCGCACTCCACCCAATTTACAATCGTCGTCCTTGCCTTTTGTTCTTACCGCCGAGCGTGACCAAGAAGACGTCATCTTTGGCAACTCAGTGCACCATTCCAAGGTTCAGTCTACCTGCATTGTGGTCTTCACGGCCGCATAACTCATGTTGCCTAAGTCTTTCATTCGTACATATGTATGATATCCAAGCTTCCAACAATCACAGCTTCGCCTTGACCCAGCTTTGCACCACTTCTTGACTTCCGGTGCCCGAATCGCCCTTGTAACCCAATATTCGCTCCACGACCATCTCTTCGTGGCACGCTTTTGGCGTTACAACTGTAGTGGCCAGCCCGCCATTGCTGCCAAAGCCCTGCGTGAACTTCTTTGCGAATGCCTCAATGCCATCTTTCAGCACCTCGTTATCGCCCACCCAAATCAAGACCTCTTCCACATAATCGGCAACAGGGCCCCACCACTCCGGAGCTGCGAGAACGGGTTCGCTGTAGAAGTCGCCAGCAAATGGAGAAGAGGAGCCGAGGAAGGCAGTCGCCCAGCGGGAAAGGGTTCGCGCGTCAAACATGTCGCGTTGTGCGTTCGTGACGAACGCTGGCGTGTTGGTCTGTGTCAAAGAGCACCATGGCGAGATGAGAAGCGCGGCATGGATCTTGGATGGAAGTTCCAACGGCGCAATCTCGGGATGTGGATGTGCGAGGTGCGAAAGCAGACCGAGTATAAGGTTTCCGCCAGCCGAATCGCCGCCCAGAATCAGGTCTGAAGGGTTGCGCCCCTCGACGTGCACGAGATGGTGAAGCAGCTCGACTGTTTGCTTCAGTTGGCTGGGATATCTGGCTTCTGGTGCGAGATCGTACGCGAGGAGGAGCGCCGATACGCCGGGACCGAGAGACTTTTGGAAGTCATCGAGCCACAGCATATGGCCTGGTGTGCATGGCATCACATATCCACCGCCTGTTCATATCAGTGACATGCCCCTCATCTTGAAAAGCGGAGACCGACCATTGAAGTACACAAAGACCTTCTTCGCGCTCCTACTACCCAGCCAATGCGCTTGTGTTCCACTAGGCAGCTTGATGCTATCTGGAACGAACTTGTACTTTTCGGCATGCTGAAGGTACGTAGGCGTCGATGATGCGCCGTTCATGTACCGGTCTTGCGCCAGGTCGAGGTTTCCCAGATTGGTCCGGAACATGGCGAACATGATGTCCTTGAAGTACGTGTTGGAGCCATTCTCGCCTTTGAAGGGTGATGTAACGGAGCGCTGCAGCGCAGAGCCCACTGTTGGACTTGTTAATGCTTGCTTTTGACATGATGATGCAGGCGCGTACTGGCTTTGAGCGTCGCCGAAGCGATGCCCAGCTTGCTTACATTCTGATCTGCCATTGTGTTGTGATGGTGCATGCGATGGCAGCAAGACGCTGCCAGCACCCACAGCAGACTAGCTACCCCATGGCGCGCGTCTGAATCTAGACTCCAGGGAGCCGTGCAAGTGCGGAGAGCGTTACCCGACGAGATTCCCGAGGTTCGCGTCCCCCACGCGTACTGTCCCCGCGATCGATCAGGGCGGCGATCATCCACTAGGCCTGCTCCGGCTTAGCTTGCTGTAGGCAAAACTCATCGCAGCTGCAGTGTCAGGGTCATGACTCGAGGTAGGATTTGTCCATTTCTGTCCTGAGTCGCAACCCACACGCATCCATGATCAGCATGGCGTCGCCGGCGGAGGCAGACACGCCCGAAGGAGCCCCTAGAGACGATGGTTCGGGCGATGGTCAGCCCAACAAAAAGCGCAGGACTGGCCCCAACTCGCGTGGCGTTGCCAACCTCACGCCCGAACAGCTTGCCCGCAAGCGCGCAAACGACCGCGAAGCTCAACGTGCCATCCGCGAGCGCACCAAGAACCAGATCGATCGCCTCAATCAGCGCATCCGGGATTTGGAGAGCCAGCAGCCATACCATGACCTGCAAGTCGTCCTCCGCGAGAAGGAGGCGGTCCAGGCGGAGAACGGAGACATCAGGAAGAGGCTCGAGAGCGTCCTGAGCATCATCCAGCCTATCGTGCGTGCGACGGGTGGCCTCAATGGTACGATGACTACTCCCAAAGAAGGCACGAATGTTGACAGCAGGTAGAATTGGCAGCAGCTGCCGAGCGATCGCCCCTTCCAATCCATCCTCACCAACAGCGCGACGCGCCTGTGCAACCTACCGAACCACGACAGTACCACATCGCGTCCCACGAGCTATCTACGGCCTCACCTCAGAACGGAGTACATTCCCCAAGCGTGACCGAGGGGGGAAGAGCATGGTTATACCCCAACGACGCGCCAAACAGCCACTTGCGCCGCTACTCCAATGGCAGTCCTGGGCCGCATTTCGACCAGTCGCGAACACCCCATCTACAGTCAGAGATGCCCTTCGATGAGCGTTTAGGCGTAGACTTTATACTCGACAATGGGCAAAGGAGGGCTGTCGATCCAAACCTGCCCCCTCCACAGCAGCCGCGACCCAGCAACGTCAGTAGTAGCCAGCATGCCATGTATGCACCGAGCATGGTCGCCCACCTCACGTTACCTCGCAATCTTCCGGCGACATGCCCTCTGGATGTCATCCTGCTCGACTTTCTGCAAGATCGTCAGAATCGCGCTGCCGAGGGCGTACCCATGAAGACCCTGGTTGGACCACACTACCCCAACTTCACGTCTCTAGCGTATCCCGAGCGCGCAGTAGATGCACACCCCCTGTCAAAGCTCTTCACAGACATCTTGCGCACATTTCCGGACATCTGCGGCAGACCGGAACAGGTTGCGATAGTATTCATCATGTTCCTGATCATGCGTTGGCAGATCGAACCTACGCAGGAGAACTACGATCGGCTACCACATTGGGCTACACCACGACCTTCCCAGCTATTTACTGCTCACGCTTTATGGATCGATCATCTCCCATGGTATGTACTAATATCCGCTTCTTAACTCGTTTGAAAAGACGTCATGACTGATTTATTCCAGGCCCCGCCTTCGCGACAAACTCGTCGCTGGCCACCCGCCGGTATCCTTCGAGAACTTCTTCATACCCTTCACGACTACCATTTCCCTGAACTGGCCTTATGAGCCCCGTGACTGTCTCCTCCCTGCTTCGAAAGTCCATACCTCAGCGCTCTCGACGACCTCCTCCGTCTCGGTCTCGTCGCCTTTCTCCACACATGTCAACGCCGGCTCGCCGCAAGACCCTTCCACCCCACAACCTCCTACGGCGCATACCTCCGCCGGTATCACGTCCATGGGTCCGCTACCCAAGGAAGACGATCAGTGGCTTATCAACCCCGCTTTTGAGACGCACCTCCGCGACCTGAACAATTGGACATTGGGACCAAGCTTCAGAGGCAACTTCCCCGCGTTTGCTGATTGTGTCAAGATCAAGGAAGGCAGGTGACGAGGATTGTAGATGCAAAACGCGCCGCGGTTAGGCGCTGGCGTGCGGGACAGGAAGGTGTTTATTAGGTATTGCATGTATCTTTACTGTATCATTGGTGGGTAATGTGGTGGCTCTATTGTGTATTATCATCAGCATTGGGTATTGTATCTTTCCAACTGTACACGCCTGGGCATGCATCAGAAGGAGCAGTGGGCTGGCTCGGGGTGGTGGATGTTTGCGACAGGCGAATTAGCATTATATCGGTATCATAACGACGCCACACGAAATCTATACCAACATTGTCTTAAACCCCAGGCTTTTATATTCGTTGACCCACCAAATTAGCACTACCTACCGCTTCGGACGACCAGGACAATGTGGGAGAGCAAGTGAAGGTGAGTGCCCTCTCCACTTTTGCTTAGTAGTGTCGAAACGACTGATCCGGCCAAGTAGCTTGCTTCACTTCTCATTCACACCCACCTACAGTCTCATCCACCATATCCAATATTGACGACACACCGTCTCCCAACAATGACGTCCATGGTTCGCGATCCCCTACAGCAGCACATGCTCGCCTACCTCGACCCCCGCCGCGGCAGTCTGCCTGCCAACGTCGCTGAGACCATTGCCGGCAAGTCCAACTCTTTCCAATGAAGACATACAGTAACTGACAGCCTACATGCAGGCAACATCACCTTCCTGATCAAGTATACTGTCGGTCCCAAGATCCTCGCGTCCCAGATCTCAATCACTGTCGTCGATGTCCGCGGCCACAATAATAGCGAAGTCGGTCACAAGGCAACTGTATGCATCCACTACGGCCCAGGTGACTTTACAGTGTTAGTCCAGAAGTAAGTCAAATGGGGCCAGAATGTTGTGCAGGCACTCGGAGAGAAGGTGGATAAGGCTGTCAGAGAGATCCTGAAGAATGAGGGGGATGATGGATATGGCGACTTCAAGGACTAGGGATTGTGGGTTCGATGATTGAGAACCGGGTGGGTGGTGACAAGCTTGCACATCAGCCACATGGAGATTCATCACAACCTCGCACTTCCGCGATTGGAAATGGTCGACTTGATTGAGGAGGATAACTGCTAGTCAGTGGGCCGGCTTGTAAAGCAAACTTGCCTTCGGCATCCGCGTCATAAGAATGATACCAGATCCCAAGTCATAGCTCTCAGATAGTTCCGCTGTCCCGCACGACCCTCTATGTTTCACTGAGAATATGCTACCAGCATTTGATTATGCAGTGACGCAGGCTTTGCCCTTAGCGCAAACACACCAGGTCCACTCTGCCGCCTACATGGGAGTCTCGTACGTCTAATCCTATCCACTTTATCCTCTCCACTTTGCGATATACCAATTACGCCGCGACCAATCACCTCATCATGTCAACTGATTCGCTCGAACAGCGACTCTACGATCTCCTACAGCCTTACCGTGAGGAGTGCTACAAGAATGCTCCCAATACCGCACCAGCAGTAGAAGAAGAACGCCTGCTTCTCATACTTTGTGGTACGTAGACATTCTATCCGCTTCAACTTCCCTTCTACTCGGCCTGACTCCTTCCCACAGAGAACATATCATTCATCATCCGCCACAACCAGTCTTCGTACGGCAAAATCATCGTTCCAATCGATATCTCTGTCGGCTCTCGCAACTGGTCTGCTATGATCAAAGGCGGTGGGGGTATAGCTGGAATGGGAATCTTTGTCAACGGAAATGGATACACGCACACGGTCATGCGCTGCTGGGCGAGGAAGGAAGACGGGAAAAGCGTGATCGAGATTCTGACGGAGGAGTGTGACAGGGCGCTGGCGAACTTCTTTCCTGAAGTGAAGGTGGAACCACAATGAGAGCGATGGGCAAGCGCGAAGGCAGTCACTGTGCTATCGGACTAGAGCGAAGACCGGCGAAGGGAGGGAGGAAGATCTTGAAGCACTATCGGCAATTATATGAGCGGTGAGGGTGAGGATTCGAGCTTTCAGTCTATAGATTCAGTGCAACCACAGTGTCTTGGCGTTCTCGTCATTGGCAGTTGCCATCATTCCACGCTCCTTTCTCCTTCTACAAACCCGCAGACGATAACCAACCTCCCGACGTCAACTCAAACAAGCCTTCTTGCCAATGTCTGCGCCCCAGCCGGCAAACGCGCTCGAACAGCGCATCTATGATCTCATGCGCCCATTCCGCAACGAATGTTATGAAGCGCCCGACACTGTCGATCAAGTCGCCGCCGCCCATCGCGCTTTCAAACTCGAACGCAGGATCCTCGTTCTAGCTCGTACGTCCAAGGCCCATTTGTTTCGCGCTTAGCTTTTTAACTGACATGTGGCCAGAGAATATCTCATTCCTCGCACACAACAACATTGCAAACACCGAGCAGACGATCAACGCCTCCGATATCTTCGTGGTGATGAGAGGTTGGACGGGAGACGGAGTGGCAAAAACGGGTGGTGCGATTGCTGTTCTTGCACGCTATCCGGAGGGTACTACGGGCGTTGTCAAAGCTACGTTCGACGCTGGTGTCAGTGTCGTTGACGCACTGTGTACGAAAGTTGACGAGATGCTTGCTGCGAGCTTCTGAAAGATGCAGCAACGGTTGTGATCAGACGGTAGTGATGTTGGTGGGCAGGGAGCGATTGGCAAAAGCAGGCGAAAGCATGAGCTCCTCAGTGGTTGGGATTTTACGAGATGCCCACTGTGGCTGAAGAGTTCTAGTACCACGATTGTTTTACCCACTCCTTATAATGTCGTGGAATTAAGCTCATGTCCCAGCTCCTGAGGTGTGACGGGATAATCTGGTTGCAGCAAAAGTGGGGCTTGCTAGTCCGAGACCCCCAGACATGGCTCAAGCTAGGTGTCTGACTCGTGGGCCACATCTGAATGGGCTGTCGATGTTTGCGGCTGCTTAGTACTTAGCCCAGCGAACGACTGATTAGTGAGCGGAGTAGGTCGCATGATCCAGAATCTTGCGCAACAACCCGAACTGAGCGCTCAATGCGTCCTCGCCCACTCTCGATAGAAGTCTAGGCATTCGGCGTTTGCAACACTCGCGCTCGTCTTGACGTTGAGTCCGCAAAGTATCTGCTTGACAGCACCTTCAACCTTTTTGCCGTTGGTAGTGACAGGTATCTCTGGACACTCATCCACTACAGCTGGAACATGACGTGCGCTAAGCGCTTGCTTGATCGTTGTCTTGATCCTTCCAACGAGATCAGTAGAGATCTGGCGACCCTCCGCCATCTTCAGAAAGAGCACGACAGTCTCATCCGTGTCAGTCTCTCTCCTTCGGCCGATGCAAAGCGCGTCCGCGACGTCTTCGGGGAAATGTTCAAGTACCACGTTGTATATCTCCGCCGATCCGAAGCGTACGCCAGCAGGTTTGAGTATGCCGTCGCTACGTCCAAGCATCCACAGTCCACCAGTTTCGGGATTGAATCGCACGAAATCGCCGTGATGCCAGATTGGCTGATTCTTCTCGTTCGTGAATTTGTCAAAGTACGACTTCCGGTACTTTGACTCCCCTTCAGGGCCCCAAAATGCTACTGGCTGGCAGATGAAGGGCTTAGTGCAGACTAGATCTCCTGGTTCGCCTGACATCGAGACATCGGCACCCGTGTAGTCATACGCCGCGATTGCCATACCTAAACCAGCGCCTTGGATTTCGCCTTCATAAACGGGTAGAAGTGGATTGGGTGCACCAAAGAGTGAGATGATGTCTGTGCCACCGGTGATGCTGCCGAGATTGATGGTCGAAGGGAAGGCGGAATAGACGTAAGAGAACGTGGAAGGTGCGAGCGGTGAGCCTGTCGAGTAGATCGCTACGAGCTTGTTCATCGCTAGCCCCGCAGCAGATGGATCGATGGACTTCTGCTCCAGGATAGAAAGGTACTTTGCGGACGTGCCGAAGTGCGTGATGTCAAACTCGTCTATCAGACGATGCATTGCTAGATCGTCTGGGACGGACGTCGATGAGTCCGAACTGTCTATATATCGAAACGGAGAACCGTCGTAGAGTACTAATGTAGCGCCCGAGGCGAGCCCGCTGACCAGCCAATGCCACATCATCCAAGTACATGTGGTAAAGTAATAGAGTCGTGAGCTAGGTTTTATGGAGCAGTGAATGATGTGTTCCTTTTTGTGTTGGAGCAGCGTACCGATGGCCCCATGTACGATACATTTGGGTGCACCTGTCGTGCCACTCGAGTAAAGGATATAAACTGGATGATCTGGCGGCAATTGCTTGAAGGTGAGTTCTGACGTGGCCTTGAGTGATGCGAATGTTGCGTAGTCGTAGGCTTTGCCAGACTGTACCGGGATAGAGGTGACGTCGAATTCTACTGCAGCTACAGTAGGAAAGATGACGACGGCTTCGAGCGATGGGAGATCCCTGACGATTTCATTAACCTTGGGAAGTACTGGATGACTCCGACCATTATAGAAGGCCGCATTGTCTGCAAAGAGCAGGGTTGGCTCAATCTGGCGTAGTCGATCGAGAACGGCATGGACGCCAGTGTCTGGGCTTACTGCGGTCCATACTGCCCCCAGCGACGACGCGGCCAACATTGCTACCAACGCGTTGGTGTGGTTTGCAACATAGCCAGCTACTCGATCGCCTTCTTTGAGACCCAAATGTATCATGCCGGCCTGACATAGCTTCACTCTATCCCTGAGTTCCTTCCATGTCACTGTTTCGCGTGTAGTCTCTGTAGCGGCGATGACGGCGGGTGATTCGGGGTTGACTTCGGCGGTCGGGAAGAGGAGATTCTCAGCGAAGTTCAATGTCGCTCCCGAGAAGAAAGCCGGACGGGGAAACATGGGCAATTCTTCATTTACGGCCTATCGTCTGTAAGTAGAGGCTACATGGATGGATCTACGATGACTGACTGATGTGAAGGCTCCCTGGTGTCGGACACCCACAAATTCCCACGTTCTTTGCCAGAATTCGTTGATGTTGTCGATGCTCCATTTGTGTAGTTGCGAGTAGTCGGACAATTGCAGGTTGTGTGTCTTGTTCACTGACTGCAAGAATTGGTACATGGGTGTCGTCTCGGGCGAGGAGTGCTTCCAGAGAAGCTTGGGGCCTGTCGGTGTGCCATTGGCACCCTTCGTGCCGTTCATCGCGTCGTGATCGTTATGGTAGGTGTTCTCACCAACCGTAAATACCGAAATTGTGCAAAAATTGAGGTTTGCGGCTATTGCAGGCTCCTAATAATTCTCGCCGGAGGTCTCGGTTTCCCCGCGCCCTCATGCGATGTTTGGCAGCGGCAAGTTCCGATACAATAGCGCATCACGAAAAGGTCGCGGTTCCCCACCCCAAACACCACAGCACCTCCATCGACTGTGGAGCCATCATCACGTCCGATCCGCGTATTTCCAGTTTGGCTTCCATCCTTCCATCGACTCACCAGGCTGCCGGGGCGTTGCATACGTCACTCGAATAAGGCCTTGGGGTGTCTACGTCGCGCATATGCGGAGGCGTCAACTACGCGCCCAGGCACCCAATAATTTCGGACTACGCCTCGACTCTCAGCAGCCCTCGCAGCTGTACTACAGCTACGCGAACTCAACAGTTTCATCCCCGTTATGCCACGACCACGAAGAATCCGGGCGGTGAAGGCACGCGACATGCGGACGCAACACGGAGCTTAGGAAGGGAAAGAGCGGCCAAGACATCTCCCTACTATTGCCTCGACTTCGAGTTTCAGCGCTGCGACCGGCACTCTGCCTTGGGGCCAAATTCACCGGTCTGCCAGGGTCGTTCGCATCTAAGCTAATGGTGTGTAGACAATGGCCAGCGCATGCCCCGCCTATCCCTGATGGGGGTAGCGCCTGGTCCTTGCACACTCCTCAGTATCGAGCACTTGCCACTCTATCGTCTGGCCTTCTACGTTTGTCCTTCGATAGTTCGTCTCAGGAGATTGCGAAGAGTACTTGATATACACCACTAGCGCTCGGGCAAA